GTTTTCGCTACGGATCCTTTGTCAAAATGCACCCCAGGAGAGGTCTTGAGAGTAGCGCTTTCGAGATGCTGCTGTTCCACCGTGGCCGTTGCCCATGGTTGAGATGCCCGGTGCTGTTGGCCAGATGGAAGCCCGCAGGGGCCAGCTCAAAGGGATCCGGTCCCGGAGGGAGGTCGCGAACATGAAGTCGATTGCATCCACCACGCCATCCAGCATTGGCATTCCGAGCTGCGGGGTGGCGCGTGTTGAGCGTTGACCAGGGGGAGGGGGCTCGTACCGTCACGGTTCGCGCCGGCGCTGTGTGGGAATGCTGCGGAGCGGCTCATTTCCAGACGGTGCCTGCGCGAGTCGTGGCGTGACCAGGGGGGGCAGGGGGAGGTCCTGTCACGGGCGCGATCGCGAATAATGCAGAGATGTCAGAAATTGGAGCATGTACATTTCCAGTGGCGGGTTTTTTTCAAGCCCACGACTTTTTTGATGGTCGGGGACGACGTCGGGGTGGTGTGGTGTATAGTGTTCCTCCGTCTTCCAAGGGAAACAACGAAACATGTATACACCAGGATACCGTTTACACCAGAATCCGCGTTCCTGTGCGAATTTCAGCGCAGGGTCGGGAAAAGCGTCGGTGTATAGATGGGCTCCTTGCCGCACAGCCCCGGGGCTGCAGGATGCTGTCTGTGATCGGCAGCAAGAGGCGGGGCCCGCGGGAGTTTTGGGGCCCGCCTTTCGCACGATCGGTGGGGCCTCCCGAGGGCCCGCGGAGGCCTCCGCCTGCGGAGGCTGCTGCCGCGCGGGCGCGCCGCCGCGAGGGCCTCTCGGGGACCGCCGCGGGGGCCCCAGGAGACAAAGGGGGGTGTCCTTAAGTCGGGCCTGTCCCTCTACAGGAGGAATATTCAAAAATAGTCAAAACATAGTCTGGGGACGATTTTGGGCCCATTTTTGAACATTGTTGGTGTATTTTAGCTGCATTTTTGACTTTCGCCCGAACTCCTTCTGTGGGGGGGGACACGCCCGACCTGAACCAAGGGGGTTTCCACGCGGTGCGGAAGGTCGGCGGCGAACTCCGAAGCCTACCCTCGGCGATCAACGATTCAGGTAACTCGATGGGTTGCGCCGGTAGGGTTCTGAATTCGTCGGACACGTGGCGGAGTCCAAATCCTACCCCTGTCTCCCATCGAGTCGAGGGAATTCTATGGGTGGAGGGGGTAGTTGAAGTAGGGTTCGGGCGTCGCCACTTTTGAAGAAGGGGAGAGGGGTGTCCATGGCACGCTGCGGTGGGAAGCTCGTCGGCGCGTTGCTCCCCTGTTTGCGCCCGAATGCCTGGTGCTTCTTCGGCAGTGGCACGCGGATGGGTTCCCCATGGCGGCGTATCAGTGACACTCAGCCGCGCGCAGAGGGGGGGGTGGGAGGGGGGAGGGCTTCTTAGAAGCACCCCGACTTCTTGGAAGGCGCGGGTCTTCTCTACAGGCACTAGATGTAAGGCCGGCGCCTTCTAAGAAGCAGCCTCGTTCTGAGAAGCCCTCCCCCCTCCCTCCACCCCCTTGTGCGCGCCGCCAAGGCACTGCTGTCGCGGGGGCTCGTTGCTCCCCCAGCAGTAGCAATGCGCCTGCTGGCCTCGGCAGGCGTGCGGGAGCGCGGCCGCGGCGGGCGTCGCCGCCGTGTTCGGCTCTCGGGGCAGACCCGCGCTTCCGCGGCCCCTCATCATCATCATCCCCCAGCGGTGGCGACGCGCGCCCTCCCGCGGCAGGCCTGCGTCGGCCGGGGCTCTCGGGCCCATCCCCTGCTGGGCCGTCGTCAGCCAGAGGAGTGCGAGTGGAGGCAGCGGTGGTTGGCCTTCGGGGGGATTCCCCTCGTGGTTGCGGCCGGACGCATGTCGGACAATTTGTGCGCTCGGGTCCCGGGAGGGGTCCGGGTATCGATCTCGAGGTGCCGTTGCATCAAGTCGCCCTGCTCTGAGTCGGTGGCCTGGACGGGTTCCAGGGGCGCCAGCAGTGGCCATCTGGCCACCGCGATCTGCTCCCAGCCTTCCTGTTTTGTTTGGCCCGTGCGCAGAGTCCCGCAGCACCGCGCGTCTCCGTACCCCCCTCCGCAGCCGCCTCCCCGTCGTCTCCCAGCCACTCCTCCTGCGTCCGCGTGTTCGTTTCGGCACGCCCCTGGCCCGAGCAAAGATCATCTTGCCGCGGCGGTCTGAGTCACGAAGCCAGAAGCTTGGGCACCAGTGCGGGACCAACCCAGTGGGCGCGAGTGCGGGGGAGGACAGTGTTTGTCCGTGCTGGCTCCTTTTTGTCCGCCACAACTTGTACGGCACCATACGGAGAGGAGGCCTGGGCGGTCGTCGCCCATGGTAGGTCAGGATGCAGCTCTTGGGAGGGCAGCTGCAGCATCTGTGCTAGTATGACCGTGGTCGAACGCAGGCACAATCCAGCATAGTCCCGTCTGCTTGATCACGTCTAATCCAGCTTGATCAGGAATCCAAGTTGCGCCAGCTCAGTGACCGTTTCTTTTCAAAATAGGGCTCTGGTTAGCCGGTCTTACGAACACCTCCCAGGGGTTGCCTCCTAAGATAGGGGAGGGGTGCTTTTCTAAGTGTGTTCTTTGCGTCCTGGCCCCCTCGCCCTGTACTCGATCAGTTGGCTGGCTTCTCGGGGTACCCCGACGGCAGGTCGCAGGTCGGGTGCCCCGGGGTCTTGTGAACCCTCGCCTTGGCTGGGAGGGACTTGAAGGATGCGCAAGTTGTCTGGTCGGCCACCAACGGGCTCGGCATTGTTCTCTCCAGCTTCCAGCTTCTCACGATCTGGGGTGCTGGAGCGTCTGTGCGCAGAATGTTTTTGCTGAAGTCCTTGGCTCCTTGGCTCCTTGGCTGACCAAGCAGCGCTTTGAATGCGCTGCTTGGTCAGGGCTGCTGTATATACGCTCCAAAAAGCGTCATAAACGCAGCGCTTTTGCGTACACGAGGACCCCTTTTTCCCCAGGGGCTTCTTGGAGGCCATGCCGCCTTCTGAGAGCCTCCTTGGAAGCCTCCGAGCGGCTCTAGGAACCAGGACGGGACACATGGGCACAACCACCAAACAACGGAGGGCTACACATCGGAAACACGGAGGGGGAATCGGAGCACAATGGGAATCAGGAGGGCCGCATTTGCACGAACATCTGGGGAAGCATGGGCAACGGAGGGGAAAAGAAGAACCTACGGGAATCATGGGACGATTTGGGAAATCCTTGACACTGTGTCGCTTTATCTCCCTTGGGGCCCCTTTGAGGCCGACCCCCCGTCGCAGCATCCCCCCCTGGGGCCCGCCGCCGAGGCGGCGCGAGTGCCTGGCGGGGCCAGGCGGAGGCGAAGCCCGATGCGACCTTAGCAGGGAGCCTCCCTTGGTGTGGTCCTTCCTGGGGGCCTCCTCCTCCTCCTCCTCCTCCTCCTCCTTCTCCTCCTCCTCCTCCTCCTCCGGGGTCCCAGAATTCCTGGCGGTGTCCGGATTTCGTGGGACGTGGTCGGCATTTGGACGACACCTGGACGAAAGGGGGAAGAGGGACGATCGAAATCTGGACGAATTTCCCTGCCGCCCTGAAGCTGATTTGTTTCCTTACTGCTCGGCGGCAAGATCCGAACCAGATCAAGACATGCAACTCAGCATTGTGGATCTACGTATCGTCCTTCAGTCGACACTCCTGTCAAGATATCCCCTGCCCACCCTGAGTTGAGGACAGCACAACCCACGAGGAACACCCCATGGCATGAACAGAAACTTTCTCCGGTCCGCGTGGATATTTCTTGGGATCGGCGCTGAGGTCCCCTGGCGGCACCTCCCGTGCTGCCACTGACGCGCTCCGCGCGCCAGGGAGGGGGGCCCAACGCCGATCCAAGACATTCGCGCGGACCTCCCGAAGTTCATGCTTGTGCAACTTGTTGCTTCTCGAAACCCAGCCCCGCCCCCAGCCAGGAACCCTGGGTCACCAGGTCGGGAGTGGGGGTCCTGGCTGGGGTTGGGGGTGGGTTGTGCTGTCCTCATGAATTCGCTGTGTTCCAGGGTCGGCGCGCGATGCGAGACCACTGGAAATGCTGGGCGTCAGGGCTGATGTTGGTGGTGGCGCCGCGTCAAGTCAAGTGCGGTCGAGGAGCCCATGTGGGGCCCCTCGCTCCGCAAGCGGAGACAGAGGAGTAGCACATCACGAACGCGCATGCAGGAGATGATTTGCGGGTGGTGTTGTCACAGCAGGTGACGATTCGTTATTGGCAGACGCCCACACGTCTTTCGTTGTGTTGGTTTCTCTCTATTCGATTTCATGTTGGTGGTGGTGTCACGGTGGTGACGATGTGTTTTGGGCAGGCGCCCAGGCCTGCGTCGTCGTGCTTTTGTTGTCGATTCGATTTCAGGCCCTGGGGACCCGTTCTGCGCTCCCTCACGGTCCAACAAGGTCGATTGAGAATGAGCAGTTTGCTTCATGGAAGGGTGCGAAAGCTTTTGGAATTCCGCATCGGAAAGATCACGAACTTCGGATTTCAGGGTGGCATGTCAGGCGCTGTCGTGGGCAGCGGGTTCACTCTGCTCTCTTGGTTACGGTCGCCACCCCATCCTTACATTGCCAGATCGTGGAGCCGAATGCTGGCCCAAGTGGCAATGTGCGGAGGGGCTCTCGCGCGAGGTTTGGTGTTTATGCTATTCGCAGAAGGTTTCCGCATCGGGCTTCTGGGATTTGGAGAACGTGCAAACACGATTGTTAGTGCCTCTCAGGGGCAAGGGGGAGAAGAATGTCGCTGAACTTGTAGCCCTTCTGCCGACGGGGCGTTTCAGCTTGACAGTCTTGTCCCATTACAGGTGGAGCGCGACGAGAAGTCCATCGATGACGCCAAGAGGAAGCTGAAGGAGATGCGCGCGAAGCAGATCGCCGAGCATGGCGGCATCAGCCGCGCTACTGTGGCCTCCCCAGCCGTTCTCCTCCAGCGGTGGCACGCACGCGAGCCTGGCGCAGAGTTCGAGCAGACCTCCACTTGTTCCCGCAGCCATTCCGGCTCAAGAGCGCTGGGGCGGTCAGCTCCGTCGGCCTGGGCACCCTCTGCGCCACGGGGGGTCCGCCGGGGAGGGCATGGGCGACGACCGCCGCTTGCAGCCAAGGAACCTGTTCCCCCACTTTGAGGCGGTGGCACGCGTGTGCGCGGCGCTTGCAGGCTCAAGGAGCCGCTCTGGTCCGGCAGCTCGCGCAGGCCGTGGGGACAGATCCTCGTCGACGCCGCGAGGGTGCGGCAAGCTCTGGGAGCGCCTGGAGCACGAGAGCCCGCGCAGCGGGACACCACCGGCGAGGCCCTGCCAGGCCGTGGCGCCGTTTGAGACAGGAGCCAAGGTAACGGCGCCCCAGGGGGGCCGCAAGAGGTCTCGATCGGACGGGCCTGGCAGCCCCGCTGCCAAGGACAGCGCCAAGCGTCGCCCGGCTGCGATGCACGGAGCGGAAGCAGCAGCCAAGGCCGCCGCGGCGGCAGCCTCGTCAGCGCCCGCCCCCGCGCGCGCCCCCGCGCGCGGGGCAACCCGCACACCAGCCGCCCCGGTGCGCGGGTCGTCTTGCGCGCCGGCCGCGCCCGCGCGCGCAGCCGCCCGTGCGCCAGTCGCAGCCGCGCGCTCGGCTGCCGCTGCGCCGTCCGATGCGGCCAGCGCGGTGGCCCGCGCGGGGCCAGCCGCCAAGCGGGCCGCTCCGCAGGCAGGGGGCGCCAAAGCGTCTGCCAAGCGCCTGCGGCGGCCAGCGGCCGCGAGCCGCTGAGGCCCCGCTGGGGCCGCCTGCCGGCGCAGCCCCCTGTCGGCCCAGCCGCCTGCCGGCTCGGCGCGGGTGGGTCGCGCTGCCGCAGGCAGCGTCGCCTTGGAGTCGGGTCGCGGGGGTAGCGGCGCGCGTGGGCCGGCAGCGCAGGGCGCCGTGAGGCGGGGCGCCGCGGGCAGGTAGCAGCGGTGGCCGGCGGTTCAAGGGCTGAGCCCCCCAGATGGGGTCGGAGCGGATGGGGTCGGAAGATCTCGCCACATTGCCAATTCATCGGCGACGTGGCTCGATTTGGAGCCTTATTTCCTCCACGCAGGCGGCTCCGATGCATCGCCGACGCCGCCGATGCACTGCCGACGCATCGGCGACGCAGCGTGATCCTCCGACCCCGTCTGCTCGGACCCCATTCGAGAGGCCTCCACCTGAAGGATGGGGCGTTAAGGGTAGGAATGTGCATCATACATTCAACCTGCACTGTTTGAGGTTTCGTCTTATGGGCCCCATCCGTCAAGGCCCCATCGTTGAACCGCCGAGGGGATGTGATCGGGCCATTTCCTGGCGGCGCGCAGAAGGGGACAGGGCGGAGGGGACAGTCCAGTTAGAATAGGTCCAGAAGAAGGCGCTGAGGCTTCCTGGATCGGCCCTGCCCCTTCTCAGAGGCTTCCGAGACTGCTCCCTGGAATGCAAGAGGGCTTCGAGAGTGGGGGGGGGCTGGTTAGAAGGCCCCCTCTACTCGGCCTCCCCCTCTTAGCGCGCCGCCCACAGTCAGCAGTAGTGCAGCGTGACGCGCTGAGTGGAAGGCCAGCCACACTGGTGCCAATAGTCATCTGCTGTGCGTGGGGAACGCGCAGGCTGAAACAGAATAATCATAATCATACGAACACAAACAGACGACGATTAACAATTCTAACAGAGAATGTGACAGAGCACGTGTAGTTGAGGAAGTAATGTAATAAGATATTGGAGGCTCTGCGTTGGAGCTCCAGAGCGCTGCACAGGAAGACGGGAAGACGGGTGAAGAGCAAGAGGAAGACGGCGACGACACAGAAGAACAGGAGGAAGGGGGATAAGGAGGCCGACCTGGTCTCATGGGGGGGCCTCTTTGGTCGTCATGGAACGTCGGGGGCCCGAAACGGCGAGAACACTCCCCCCTTACAGACTTTAGCGAATCACTGAGGCCTGCTCTTGAGTCCTGGGACTCTCCTGGGGGTCCTTTTGGAATCCTCTCGGGGCGCCTCGGGTGCATCCTGGGCCGCCTTCCGGCCATCTTGGGCGCCTCGGAGCGGTCCCGGGGCCCACTTGAACTCGGAGGTTGATAGACCTCCTACCCTGACACGTCGATTAGCGAACTGGCCGTTATCGGTTCGCGAGAGGGCGTCGCGGCCGTCACTTCTGCAGATCCAGGTCCGTCGGTTTCGGCCCTAGGCTGTTTTCACGAAAGGGTGGTTTACGAAAGGGAGGCTTGTCCACCGCCGATGGACCATCTTGGAGGACTCTGGGGGACCCTCTCGGCCTGCCCCTGGGGCTCTCCTGGTCGTCCTCTGGGTGCTGCGACCTCGGAGCATCGCTCCACGTTGCTTTTTAGCTGCGAGGGGGCGGGGGACCTGCGCTGACCCCAACCCAGACCTCAGACGCCCCGGCTCTGCCAGGCGTCCCCTGAGCTGCACCCCCCCCCTGTGCTCTCCTGGCCTGCCCTTGGGGCTCGCCTGGCCTCCCTATAGAGGCCGCGCGGGAGCGCGCGCGCGCAGGCGTCGAGCTCCGAGGGCACGCAGCACTCCTGCCCCCCTTCCGCCCGCCCGCCGGCGCGTCCCTTCCGCGCCGACCTCTGCACTTCGGCGCGGCACCCCCGCGCGCCCTCCCCCCCCCCCTCCTCCTCCTCCTCCCTCCTCCTCCCCCCTCCCCTCCTCCTCCTCCTCCTCCTCCTCCTCCTCCTCCTCCTCCCTCCTCCCTCCTCCTCCGCGCCCCCCCCCCGCCAGCCAGCGCGCCCCCTCCGCCCCGACCCTCCCATTTCGGCACGGCACCTCCCCCAGCCCGCGCGCCCCCCCCCCCCCCCCCCGCAGCTCTCCGCCCGCCAGCCCGCGCCCCCCCCTCCGTCTGTGGCTCGCCGTGCAGAATACGGCGGGGGCGTTGGTTAAGGAACGGGCCCAGGAGGCTTCAGACCCTGGAGGACTCCTGCTCTGATGAGGGCGGCGGTGATATCCATGGCCAAGCCTCGATTGGAGTTCCACCAGTCTCCAGACCCCGGATTCCTTATCGAAGGTTTCCTTGTCCAATGCCCCCACCGTATCAAAATGCTCGATACAGGCTTCTGAGGGACCTGAGGACACTCCACTTCGAGCTCGGAGCACCGTGGCGAATCTGTGCGAATAGACAAAATGGCCTTCGGCACAACCCGCCACCGTGGCGAGGTCCTGGAAGCGGCCTCTGGTGGGCATCTTTGGGCCCTCTTCTGCCGTCTCTGAACGTCTTGGGGCATTTCTCGGACGCTCTTGGGCTGCCTGGGTGCAGACTTGGGCCGTCTTGGGGCCCTCTTGGAGCCGTCTCAGATTCCTCCGCTGGCTGTCCTGAGGTCTTCTTGGGATCATCTTGGGGCGTCTTGGGTGGTTCTTGGTCCGCTCTCCTCCGCTGCCGCCGCCGCCTCCTCCTCCTCGTTCGCTTCTTAGCCAGCATTTCCCGCAAAACTCGGCGTACCGATTCCGTGACACGCTCGGTTGGGGTGACGTCTAGCCGGCCAAGGCCAATGATCAGGGTGATTATTTCAGTAGCGCCTCAGTGCCGCTTGCTTCCATCACATCGGGCAGTCAGCAATCGAAGCGTTGTTGAGTTCTCACTACCAGGGAATAGTTCTTGTTGATCCGTCCCTCCCTCTCCAGCGCCCATCATATCCTTCAATTTGAATGCCCTTCCCGTGGGCCGTATTCTTTTTTGCTAGGGCAATTCTTGGGCCCCGGCTGTGTTGCTGGCCCCTGGTTTGCTACAACAGCGGCTGTCGCCAGGTATCCCCGCATACTGTATTGAGCAACCTGGCTTTCGCTAAAATCAAGACATCCTTGCAGTTTGCACAGGAATCGCGCTCTCGCTTTGGACTTCCTTGCAGTTTATTCAGACGCCTCGCCTCGACACAGGAATCGCGCTCTCGCTCAGGACTTCCTCACGATGTTTGAAACGCGCTATCGCTAACGATTTCCTCTGGAAGCATTCCGGACTTACCCTTCAGCGATCCTCCCGCCCGACCCGTCCGTTTGTGTCCGGCTGCCGCACCCGCTTGTTAGGGTCCTCCCGCCCGACCAGCCCTTTTGGTTTTGCCGCTTGTTAATTTGCAACTAACCCCCTGATGCTAATACCTCTCGTGGTCCATCCTTCTGCCTCCCCCTTGCCCCTTTCCCTCGCCCCTCCCTTTCCGCACTCCTTTCCTCCTCGTTCTCTCTTTTTGTCCTGTCTCCCTCCCCTTCTGTTTTGGGGGCTGTGCCAACTACGCGTGGCACGTAAGAAGATATGCCCCAAGAAGGGGGGTGCGATCGACGACGAAGTGACTGGTACCGATTGACACGCGAGCAGATGAAAGCGCACAATTTATAATGATTGTTGCAGTTGTTGCTTGCCTGACGCTTCCTCGCAATGTGTGAAGTTCGCTCCAATGCTCCGCCCGCCCGTTGGGGTCCACCCGCCCAACCCGCCGTCAGGGTCCGCCCGCCTGACCCGCCCAGTAGCTTCGCCTGCCAATACTCTTGTTTCGTTTGTTTCCCGCTCCTGCTAAATCTAGTTCGTCCCTAACTGTCCAATCTCCCTCTTGCCCTCCTCCACTCCCGTTTCCTTTCTGTCTCCCTTTCTCATGTCTGCCTTCTCTCCCTATTTTAAGGACCGTTCCAATTACACGTCGTAGGCAAAGACGTGAATCACCCCAAGGGGGTGCAATCGAAGGTGAAGAGGCTGGGTATCGAGGGTTTGGTGGTATACATGTTAAACCACTCGCGTCCAATGAAAAGCGAACACACTTACAATCATGGTTGTTGTTGTTGTCGATTTCCGTTTTTAAAGAGGAATTCCCCGAACAGTGCTTACACTTAGGAGTTCTTATACGTTTTCTAGTGAACGGAGCCTGCTGTCAGTCTGGCGGTTACGTAGCCGCTGTCGCCGCCTCGTCGCCTCGTCGCCGCCAGTCGTCTGGGCTGGCGTGCCGGTCTGGCGGCTATGTAGCCGCCGTCGCTGCCTCGTCGCCGCCTCGTCGCCGCTTGCTGCGTTGTATTGCGTTGGTTTGCGCTGCGTTGCTTGGCAATGCTTTGCATTGTTTTGCATTGCATTGCTTTGCGGTGCATTGCATTGATGAGCGTTTTTTTGCATTGCATTCCATGGATTTGCATTGTTGTTTTGCGTTGCTTTGCACAGCTTGACATTGATCTGCATTGCCTTGCATGCACCACATAGCTTACACCAAATAAACTGCACCACGCAGATTGTCGAACCACATGCATTGCACCACGCAGCTCACGCCATTTCGATTGAATCACGTAGTTCAAGCCAGATAGATTCCACCAGATAGGTGGCAGCACATGAGTTCTCCTTACCGAAAACGAATTCGGATCGACCCCTGGTCTTATCCATCACCCCTGGGGATCTGCACATTACATGTGATTATGCCCCACCGTTAGTTTTCTGTGCGATCTTATACCATCCCAGCCAATCCAGCATCGACACTCCCTTTTTCCAAGCTGGAGAAACAAGATTACTCGCGCGCACTCGATGATAGCAAATCGTCAATTTGCCAGATTCCTTTGCAACATATGTGCAAATCCACACGCGCGCGGCGTCGCGCGCGCATGTGAAAATCCTTAAAATTCTCAGGCGTCGTAAGGATTTCAACATGGACGTTCCAGAACATACACACATTTGTTTTGCAACAGGTGTGCTGTTGTTAAAAAATGCCGCACGCGCGCTCTTCGGAATTCGTGTTGGAACCACATATTTCTCAACCTATTCATCAAGTGCGGCCCAACGGGCTTATCGCGCGGTGATCAGCGCCGGCGCAGTCATTTGCATTGCCGTTCTCATCGCCATCGTCGTCACCAGCATCGCTACTGTCATCATATTGTCTGCCGTTGCCGACGTCGCCATAAGTGACGAACCAACAACACACACCCATACCCATATGTGGGTCGGAGAGGGCTATGGGTGCGTGTTGTCGGATGGGGGTCCCCGCTCGAACGGGAGCGTTCACCAGGGTCCGACAACCCGCACCCATACCCATAGTCAGTCCTCCTCTCAACGACCCCCCTATGGGTATGGGTTTGTGTTGCTCGTTCGTCAATAATACCCCACCCGTCCGAGTCACCGACTTGCGCTGAAGTGCCGGCTCGGCAGCGCGAGCCGCGAGTCGCGCTGGGGAGCTCACAGCGGCCAGCGCCACCGCGGCCGCGTCGGTCGCGCCAGACAAGCTGGCCGTTCCGCGTGTGAACCTGGGCGCGCTCGTGTTGTCACACGATGCGCGAGCCAGGGCCACTCAGTTATCGCCATCGTCGCCGCACGGGTTTTGCAAACCAAGTTGCGGGTGGGTGGGCGAGATCATTGCGCGAGCAGTGGGGTTGACAGAGTCAAGTTCGACAAGGTGAATTGCGCCGCGTAGATTGTCCTCTCTTAAATGAAGTTAGATTCTACCCCCATCACCCCCTTGGACTTATCGGGCCGGACTGGCGCATTTCAATTGCCTCTTTGTTCATTTTCGGTGGGAATTCATACCGTCCCAGCCAGGCCAGAGCTCGCCCCCCCCCCCCCCCCCCACTCCCTCAGCAGAAAGAACTATGCGCGCGCACCTGTTTATCAAAAGTCATCCGTTTTCGAGAGTCCCTTGTTTAATGAAGCGACGAAATGCACACGTGCGCGTCG